CACAGATAATGCTGCCTAGCTTTTTGACCTTTGCTTCCAGGGCCAAGACCTTACTGATGATTACTTTGTTTCAACTGGTGACCTCATAGTGGCTTCTGCAAATTGTAAAGGATAGTCAAATGTACAGGTAAGAAAGTATAAAGCAAAAGGTAGCCCATTCAGTCATAAAATAACATGGAGTGTAGTTTCAGCAGTAGAATCAAATCTCCTTCATTGTGGTGGAAAGGGCTGTGTCCTCCTTGCACTATAGCTATAATGGCAGATTTTCTTAACACATACATATATTACTGCATTTGCAAAACAAAACTGGTCCATTTGGGGAACCATCCATTCAAAACCCAAAAACTGAAGACATCCTCTTTCTGGGAAGCTGGTGACAACATATCACAATGTAAGATTGGAGAATAAAATGTAGATGAAAAGTTGACTCAATATTCATCAGATAAAGAACAAGAAGGAGATACCGATGAATGCAATGATGAGGACAAAGATATAGACGAAGCCGCTGAAGTTGACAAAGAAAATGAAGATTAAAAAAAGATGCTTGAAGAGTTGACCAGCTGCCTACCTAGCATACATGCATTTAAAAATGACTTTTTTCTTTTATAGTTGCTAGGTGTTTGTTTTATTACTGCTTAAATTTTATTTTTCTTTGACACTGCTCAGTCTTGAATAATATTCTCATTTGTATGCCACCTAACATGACTAAAATGCGAATAATAATTATTCTTTCATTTGTAAAGAAATGATTTTCTTTTTGGAGATTTTTCTGAGTTAAAATAACACAGTTAAATAAAAAAAAAAGAGTACTAGTGGCACCTTAGAGACGCACCAATTTATTTGAGCATAAGCTTTCGTGAGCTACAGCTCACTTCATCGGATGCATGCCACTAGTACTCCTTTTCTTTTTACGAATACAGACTAACACGGCTGCTACTCTGAAACAGTTAAATAACTTGCGGTTTGTAGAAAGGCTGAGCCTATTGGAGAACAAAAAGACTTGGCCCTGGTCTACATTACAGAGTTTACGTTGACCTAAGTGTATACACTAAAATATAGCTCCCACTGATGTAACTTGCCCATCACACCAACTTAATAACTTAAGCATAGTGCTGAAGTCTATGTAGTTAGATTGACGCAGTGTCAGCGTAGACACTACTTTGCTTAAATTGACTGTTGTGGCCTTTCAGAAGCCATCCCACAATGCCCTACATTGACAGTTAAATTGGTAACCGCTCCTAGTGAGGACATGCACCACCAACACAAGGAGCATAGTGTGGACATGCAAAAACAATGTAATTACTGTGGTAGTTGTACATCAATGTAACATAGGTCAACTTAATTTTGTAGACTTGATTTTGCTCTTTTTGTTACTGTTGTTATAGGATAGGAATTTAACATATTTTATCATTTTTGACACACTGAAAATACTGGACCACTGTTTGGCCAGTCCACTGACCAATTATTTTTGGACGGGTCCAATGCCCAGCCCTGCTTTGGAGCACACAGGTACCTCCCCTGCTGACCTGACATTTCTCGTAACCCCACTAGAGAGGTGAAGCCCTGATCCCCCCGGTGCACAGGGAGAGACCCACCCCATGGAAAAAGAAAAAGAGTACTTGTGGCACCTTAGAGACTAACCAATTTATTTGAGCATGAGCTTTCGTGAGCTACAGCTCACTTCATCGGATGCATACCGTGGAAACTGCAGCAGACTTTATATATACACAGAGAATATGAAACAATACCTCCTCCCACCCCACTGTCCTGCTGGTAATAGCTTATCTAAAGTGATCATCAGGTGGGCCATTTCCAGCACAAATCCAGGTTTTCTCACCCTCCACCCCCCCACACAAATTCACTCTCCTGCTGGTGATAGCCCATCCAAAGTGACAACTCTTTACACAATGTGCATGATAATCAAGTCGGGCTATTTCCTGCACAAATCCAGGTTCTCACATCCCCCCCACCCCCATACACACACAAACTCACTCTCCTGCTGGTAATAGCTCATCCAAACTGACCACTCTCCAAGTTGGAGAGTGGTCAGTTTGGATGAGCTATTACCAGCAGGAGAGTGAGTTTGTGTGTGTATGGGGGTGGACTTGGAGAGTGGTCAGTTTGGATGAGCTATTACCAGCAGGAGAGTGAATTTGTGTGGGGGGGTGGAGGGTGAGAAAACCTGGATTTGTGCTGGAAATGGCCCACCTGATGATCACTTTAGATAAGCTATTACCAGCAGGACAGTGGGGTGGGAGGAGGTATTGTTTCATATTCTCTGTGTGTATATAAAGTCTGCTGCAGTTTCCACGGTATACATCTGATGAAGTGAGCTGTAGCTCACGAAAGCTCATGCTCAAATAAATTGGTTAGTCTCTAAGGTGCCACAAGTACTCCTTTTCTTTTTGCGAATACAGACTAACACGGCTGTTCCTCTGGACCCCATGGAAAGAGACAGCCCCTGCATTAGCGCTAACCACCAGCCCAGCGCCCCTAGGCCCGCCCCAGGGAGCTGAGGTCCGGGGGAGGGGCCCGTACTCACTCCACAAAGGCCCGGGAACAGAGGCACAGGATGCTGCCAGCTCCCTCTTCCGCCTGCAGCAGCAGCTCCGCCACGAGGCGGCTCCGCGGCTCGTAGGGCATCCCGCCCGCCGCCAACGGGAAAGGCGGGGCGCAGCGGAGGGGCACGCGCTGCTGTGTGAGTCTCGCGGCGGCCGCGGCTCAGCCCGCGCTTGAAGCAGGGGCGCAGCGGGCGCAATGGCCTCGCGTTCCTTCCGCCGGAAGCGGCCTCGACGGGGTTGGGGTGTCGCACCCAATGGGGTCCGGGCGGAGTCGCAGGAGCGTGGTTCCGGACTCAGGGCCGAATGGGGGGGGGATGAGAGCCCGGGCGGGCCGGCCGGCCTGCAGCTCACCCTGCACCGCGCACAAACAGCTCCCTCTCCCCGTTCCCGAACTGAGCATGCCCAGTAACCGTCGCGGTTGCCGCTGCCCTCGCTTCTCCTGGCGATTGGCTGCCTCCCCTTTGGAGGGGTTGAAAAGGATTAAGGGGGGCAAATCGCGGCGGGGGGGGGTCAGGATTCGGGCAGGGGGCAAAAAATTTATTGGCGGGGATCAAGCTACTGTAGGTAGCGGCAGCAGAGGGGCTGAAGGGGGAAAATCGGGGGTGGGAGCCGGAGTTAAGCCCGGGGGGGAGGCTGCCAGACCCTGGGGGGGACAAAACCCCCCTTTAGGGAGGGGGGGGACAGTGACCCCATGGTATGAGCCACCTGCTGTGCTCGCAAGGCGGGGGGGGGGGGGGGCAGAGGCTTTTTCGCTCTGCCCCCAGGACGCTGCACGTCAGCCCCGGCGCAGAGGGCGGGTTCCCGGGGCCGGGCTCCTAAAGGCCCGGGCCGCCCAATCCCGAGACCGTCTCTGCTCAGGCGCCGCAGCCCCTCGCTTGTATCGTGCCCCGGGGCTGCGTGTCTGCTCCGGCCGGGAGGCGGACTCCGGTGCAATCGCCTGCAGACGCGCCCGCCCTCAGACCCTGCCCCTCGCCTCCTGAATATGCAAAGGAGTCTTCTCTCAGTGCCTGTGTCTGTATGAAATCACTGCAGCTCCTTTCTCTTATATAACGTGCTGAGTTGCTAACTCCCTCCCAGAGCCCACATGTCTGCACCCCCTCCTGTACCCCACTCCCCTGCACCCCTCACTCAGACTCCCCATAGCCTGCAACCCCAAAAAGGGCCGGATTAACCTTTTGTGGGCCCCCATGGGGGCAACGGGCACATGGGGCGGGGGGGGCAGAGTCCTCAGAGCGAGGGGCTGGCCGGGGGCATGGGAGATGGGTCATGGCACGGCAGGGACAGCCCCACTCCACCCAGCCCAGTACAAGGGCACTGCTTACAAACCGGGAGCTGCCAGACACACACTGGCCAGCCCGGCCCTGGGCTGCCATCATGCTGCTTCTTCTTGGGGGCGGGCCTATGCTGCACCATGCTGCCCCCCTGCCCAGCACCCCTCTGACTCAGTGCCACACCACTGGGAAGGGGCCCCCCTACGCCCAGTGCCACACCACCCAGAGACCCCCACAAACCCCCATGCCCAGCACAGTCCCCCCCCCGGAACTCCCCCACAGCTCCTCTCACTGCCCAGTTCCCCCCTAGCCGAACACCCCCCACAGCCCTCCAACAACTGCACAGCACCCTGCACCTCCCTGCCCAGAGCCCCCCCCACAGATCCCCTCACTGCCCAGTGCCCCCCACCACCACAACTGTACAGTGTCCTGCGCCGACCCCCCAAACTTCCCAGCACCCTGACACAGATCTTCCCCACTGCACAGCCCCTCAACACACACAGATCTCCCCACTGCCCAGCACCCCCCCAGACCCATTAAAGACCTACTCTCCCACACCCTGACCCCCTGCCACAATAGCCGGCCCTGATGGGAGGTGACTGTATCTGCCAGGCTGAGCCGGCAGCGCAGCCAGAGCTGGTCCCGGGGCAGGATAACTCCGGCCCCTTGGGAGTGGTGCAATCAGCCAAGCTGGAGCAGGAACAGAGCCTGCCCGGGCCAGGCTCCCTCAGGACCCACATGCCTGGCAGGACCCACCCAGCTGAGCCCCCCACACTGTCCCCTGTCACTGGCTGAGGCTGGCCCAGCCTCTGCACCAGTCCCAGGTGGCTCTTCCCCTGGGGAGGCAGGTGGGGCCCCACAGGTCCCAGGAAGCGGAGACAGCTCAGAGCTGGAGCAGTGCTGGGGAGCGGGGCAGATCCCTGGGACATGACTCCCGAGATCCCACCGAGCCCACCCACACCCATTGGCCCCGTGGCCAGCAGCCCTGCTGAGATAGCTGAACCAGCGGGCAGCTCTCCTCGCGCCCCCTCCGCCCCAGCTCACCTCTGCTCCGCCTCCTTGGGCCTGAGCGCGAAGCCGCCGCCTGCTTCTCAACCCTCCCCAGCTTCCCACGTGAACAGCTGATTTGCGGGAAGCTGTGGGGGGAGGGGGCAGAGAAGCAGAGCGGGGTGGCGCGTTCAGGGGTGGAGGCGGAGCGGAGATGAGCTTGGGCCGGGTGTGGGGAGCTGCCGGTGGGGGCTCTGCATCCGCCAAATTTTCCCTGTGGGGGCTCCAGCCCTGGAGCACCCACGGAGCTGGTGCCTAAGGCGCCACTTTTGATGTGATCAGTGGGGGGAGCAGCCGCTCCCCCTGCTCTCCCCCAGCTACGCTACCCCACCCCTAGGAGCCAGAGGGACCTGCCGGATGCTTCCCGGGAGCCACCCCAGGTAAGCACCGCCGGGACTACCCACCTCGCCCCCCAGCAGGTCCCTCTGGCTCTTAGGGGCGGGGTGGGGTGGGCACCCGCTACGGTGGCCCACGAGACCCTCCTGCCCTGTTCTGGGGGCAGTCAGGGGACAGGGGATGGGGGTGGATGGGGCAGGAGTCCTGGGGAGGGGGGCGTCAAGGAACACGGGGGGTTGGATGGGGCAGGAGTCCCAGGGGGCGGGGCCGGGCAGGAGTCCTGGGGGGCAGGGATGGGCCACGACCCCCTCATGGGGTGAGGAGGGAACCGGTTGTTAAGATTTTGAAAGCTCATCACTGAATGGGTCCATTAATTAAACACAAGTATGCAAACAGCTTAGTCAGTTTTTACATTAAGTAAGACAGAGCACATTGATACAAATCATTTTATTTTTACAGGACTCTCTTACGTATCTGATTTGTAACACTAAGGATCCCTTGCATGTCTGTCTATATTAAACTCATTATGTTCGTGATGTGCCAGCATTATTAATGCATAAATAACTTTGTTGACTGTCAACAGGTACAAGCCATCTCATCAGTAGTTTCCACTGTCATTCTCTCAGCAGAGCTCCACAAATGAAAGTGAAGGTAAATGCTAACACTCTTTCATACATAGCATGAGCAAAACACAATTTCATTCAGTGAGTTAAACATAGTGTGAAACAGCAAATACAATGCTATGTTTGATGTGGAGGAGTACTCTAATAGTAATACATGTAATGAAATTGGGAATTTCAGTATAATGTACATTTCATGGTTTGCTTCACTGGAAACTATAATTGCATTTCTAATTTCTTTTTAAATAAATACAGAGTGAATTACTTCAAAATGATATATTATTGCTTCCTTACCACACACCATACACCAGGTCATTGGGTTCTTGCGGTAAGATGTTTTGTATTGTACTTTGGATTATGGGCAATAAATGTGGTATTAAATACGCTATTTGTAACATTTATAGCTAGCAGTGATATAATTTCCCATGTTGCGGGTTTTCAGTGAGTTTAATGCATGCAAAGGAAAGTGGAATGTGAACGATAAAAATAAAATGCTACTGTCAAGTTACGTTGTTAATGTAACTTGGAAGAATACATTCTGTATTGAACTGATGAATGATTTCACAATATGCTTTCCTCATGTGTGTTACTGGGACATTACAAACGAGAATATGTTAATTGCATAATAATTTTTGATAAATCAGTATAAAATTTTTGAAAGAATCACACTACCAATGTAATTGGTGAATGTATTTACACTTACAGATAGCCTTGATGAAAAAAAGGAATTGTTAATAATTGACCCCTTGTGTAATGAGATGAGATATGAAAGAACATGCCTGAGGAATTGGAGGTGTTTTATTAGATACTTACTTTTACAGTGGACATGAACTGTTCCGTTGAAAAATTTTTTAAAGGGAAGGTAACAATAGTGAGACGAATATCTTCCTGTTAGCTACAAATAAAAATTGAAACAGCATGTGCTTGTACTAAATATGCTTAGTAATGGACTTTGAGTGAACTTGTGCGATTTGACTCTGGGAAACGACTTCACAGAATGTGGACACGAAACAGTAGCATGTTGCCTGATTGAGAATGTGTTATTATCAACATGGGGCATGGCAAATCAGGTGATACGTTGTGTAAGAGTGAGACAATAATATGAAAGCAAGTGTGTATATATGTGAGCAATAAGTCATTTCAATCATTAATTAAAAAGAGATAGAACTGATTTGTACCTGTGTCCAGAAACCGGAGGGGGGAAAAAAAAAGGAAAGAAAAGCTCATTTATGCACTCCGCTAATGTACTCTCTAAAAATTTCAGAAACTTCATCAAATGATTAACTAGAAAATCCTCATCTGATTGGAATAGTAAAATTGTTCAGCATCCCAGACAAAGTGATGGCCACAACTGCAGACCGCTCATCTTAAAGGTATTGAACACCAAATTGCCATTATCATTTGTTATGTATGTGTAATTATCCAGGGTGAAAGTAAATGCCAGAGATTACCAGTGGGCACTGCACCAGCGTCCTTGCCAAGGTGTGTAGGGTGGGCTTGTGGCCCCCAGAAGGGATGGGGTCTCTGGCGGAAGGTGCGGTGCTGGGGGGCCAGATTCCACCAGACAGCCCTTCCTGACAGCTGCTGCTGCAGTGGCCAGGAGCACCAGGCCCTTGTAAATTGCCGGAACACAGAGCCCCTTTTGCTCCCCAGCTGTCAGCAGCCCTGCTAGTAGCATGCAACAGTGTTGCCGGACCCTATGGCAGGGCCGCTGATGTGGGGGGGGGGCGGGGCGGGGAATGGGATAAAGGGGGCAGTGATGTTAAAGCATAAAGCACTGCCACAGCGGAAGTGTATTCTTACCGGTATGCTGGACCAGGCCACTCTCACCTATGGTAATTATGATGTTTATTCTAAATATCAGTGTTGTTAGTTTGCAGAAACATATTTGCAGCACAAACAACACAAGAGGCTAATACTGCGTTTAGAAGACATATAGCAATTCTTCTAATGAAGGAGTCAGGTAATTACTTTCTACCATGTACTGTGGACTCATTAGGCAGATGTGAAGACAACAGGAAGAGTGGAATTATGTCACGTAGCAGACAGTTATCTTAATACCCCTAAAGTGGGATATCTCACAGGTTTGGTTCTGTAATGGTGACTATGAATCAATAATATCTTTAAGTACACAAAAATTTGAATGGGGTGAATGGTTGCTATTCATCGACCAGTTGAATGAAATTGGTATTTTTATATAGGTGCAGTAAAGTAAAAATTTGAGAAAATATGACTCCCAAAAAAGAAAAAGGTATGTTCAAACCAGTGACTGGATTAAAATATTGACATTAATAAATCAAGATTTGCATTTTCAGTGTTGGTCGTAATGTATTCATCATTTCATCGCGCTATATTTATTTTTCAGAAAGCGTGGAGGACTCCTGCATCTACCGCAGGCTTGTCAACTGTGAAAAGGAAAGTGAGGATTGCACGATGGTAAGAAGCATAGAATTGTATGAGAAATAAATGCCATAAACTGCCTAAGGATAATGATTCTTGTAAAAATTCCACATCAGTAAACATTTTTGTCATGCTGATAGGCATATGTTAGCTAATGCTGACATATGGAAGGAATAGCATGAGTGAATGCAAAGTATGTGTAACCTTATAACTTCTGTGATTTCATTTTCTCAATTGTTACGTATCAAAGGTCCAGTGTGATTCTTGCAAGAGGTGGGTACATATGCCCTGCATTCCAGAAGGAACCAATCAAGACTATCTGACTGATGAGAAGAAAGAGTACAACTGCAAAAAATGTGCATAGTTCCCTTCTTTACCAAAAAAACAACAACAAAACAAAACAAATAAAAACAACAAAACAACAACAACAACAAACCATTGTGTTTAAATGCCTCTTGTTCAAAACATAATGCAACCAAAATAAATGTGTTAATTTATATACCAGATTATAATAATAAATGTTTTTTATTTGAAAAAAAATATTCTTGGTATTTGTGTCTATGTGTATAATGCAAATTATAAAAGCAGCAAGGAGGAAGCAAATTGTGAGTGTTTTCGACCCATCCCTCCTGATTCGCAACCATCCCTGGCTCAGTGACAAATGCATGGGCAGCCAAGGCATTGGAAATAAGCAAGGAGGAAGCCAGTGAAAAAAATCAAAGGGACCACTCTGGAATCACCTTGGGCTCATGGGCATGCTCCGGACCCCCAAACCTTACCTCCCTTTTCACATACTCACACACAAAATGAAGCAGCACGCCTCAATCATCCAATAAATCAATTTGGCACATTAGCAAGGAGGAAGCAAATCGTGAGTGTTTTCAACCAAAAACCCCATCCCTCCTGATTTGGAACCTGGCCCAGGTGGTAGCAAGTCCCGAGAAGTAGCCAAGATGGTCACTTTTGCGTGGCAGAAACTGCACCTAGATGCAAAAGGAGAGGATTATTATTTGTGTCGTCACACCAGGGCTGCCACCTGCACTTGGGCTCCCTGGCTTCGGCTGGGAAAATGCCTGGCTGAGCCTTTTGTTACCAGCGCTTCCCGTGTTCAGTGAAGCGCAGGGTTCTCTGCTGGCCCTTGGGGCAGAGTCCATGTCCCGCCCCTTTCCCCCCCTGGGCACTAGGGGAGGAAGCTGGAGGCCTCCTTTCACTCCTCCAAAATGGTCCCCATGTGCTTCACAGCGCGTAGCTTTCCTGCCAGACTCGCTCCCGCGCAGTGCAGCATGGTAATTGCTACCAGATTTTTTGATAGGAACAAATTCTTCTATTACCCGAACAAGGTTGAGCATAGCTTCTCAAGTCCCTACAATAGTGATTTCCTCTCTTGAGATAAAGGGCATTGCTACACTTGCAGACGTAGAGCGCTTTGAGTTAAACCAGCCTTCAGAGAGCGCAGTAGGGAAAGTGCTGCAGTGTGTTCACGCTGACAGCTAGAAGCGCACTGGCATTGCCACATTAGCAGCTCTTGCAAAGGCCACAGAGAGCAGTGCATTGCGGTTGCTATCCCAGCATGCAAGTGACTGCAACGTGCTTTTCAAATGGGGGGGGGGGGGGTTGAGTGTGACGGGGATGTGTTGTGTGTATGTGTGGGGGGGAGAGAGTGGGTTTTGGTGGGGGCTGAGAGCATGTCAGCATGCTGTCTTGTAAGTTCGGACAGCAGCAGGCCCCCTTCTCCCCCACCTCTCTCTCTCTCACACACAACATTCCACAGTAATGGTTGCTTTGTCTCTGAGCAGATAAGCAGCCGGCTGTTAGAAATGGAGCTTTCAAAGGGCATATCCACATTCCTACAGCGAATTCAAAACAATGAGAAGAGTGGCCACTTGACTTAAGGGGATTATGGGACATTTCTGGAGGCTGATCAGAGCGCAGTAATGCAACACCTCATTCACACTGACGCCCAGGCGTTTCAGCCAAGGTGCAAGAAGCATTAATCTTCTCGCCCAGGTGGAGTACCAGGAGCACTCTAGCCGTGGAGTCAGAGTGCTCTACGTGCCTTGCCAGCGTGGATGGGTCGTGAGCTAGGGCACCCAGGACTGCTTTAATGCACTCTAACTCGCAAGTGTAGCCAAGCCCTACGTTTTGTTCTAGAACTAGAGTCTTCTTTAAGTGGGCAGAGGTGTCTTGCCTGTTTGTCCATTTTGTATACAGTACACATTGTTTCTGTTCTTTGTGCCTTTTAAGTACATGTTGGTCTCTCTCAGTGACTTCTGCATTTGTTATAGGTCTTTTGTCTTCTCTCTTTATATTTATGGTGTACTGTTTCCTTCCTAAATGCTTTGAGTTAGATGGTGCACAACTCTTCAACAGGTTTCAGAGTGGTAGCCGTGTTAGTCTGTATCAGCAAAAACAACAAGGACTCCTTGTGGCACCTGAGAGAATAACAAATTAATTTGGGCATAAGCTTTCATGGGCTAAAACCCACTTCATCAGATGCATGGAGTGGAAAATACAGTAGGAAGATATATATACATAGTCCATGAAAAGATGGGGGTTGCCCTACCAATTCTAACAAGACAATTCAATTAAAGTGGGCTATTATTAGCAGGAGGAAAAATCACTTTTGTAGTGGTAATCAGGGTAGCCCATTTCAAACAGTTGACAAGAAGGTGTGAGTAACAGTAGGGGGGAAATTAGCATGGGGTAATTTAGTTTTCAGTTTGTGTAATGACCCATCCACTCCCAGTCTTTATTCAGGCCTAATTTGATGGTGTCCAGTTTGTAAATTAATTCCAGTTCTGCAGTTTCTTGTTGGAATTTGTTTTTGAAGTTTTTTTGTTGAAGAATTGCTACTTTTAAGTCTGTTAATGAGTGTCCAGGGAGGTTGAAGTGTTCTCCGGCTGGTTTTTTAGTGTTATAATTCTTGACATCTGATTTGTGTCCATTTATTCTTTTGCATAGAGACTGTCTGGTCTGGCCAATGTACATAGCAGAGGGGCATTGCAGGCACATGATGGTGTATATCACATTGGTAGATGTGCAGGTGAATGAGCCCCTGATGGTGTGGCTGATGTAGTTAGGTCCTATCCTGGTGTCCCTTGAATAGATATGTGGACAGAGTTGGCAATGAGGTTTGTTGCAGGAATAGGTTCCTGGGTTAGTGTTTGTGTTGTGTGGTGTGTAGTTGCTGGTGAGTATTTGCTTCAGGCTGGGGGGCTGTCTGTAAGCGAGGACTGGCCTATCTCCCAAGATCTATGAGAGTGAGGGATAGGTTGTAGATCCTTGATGATGCGCAACTAAAACCTCTCCAGCACATCATCAAGGATCTACAACCTATCCTGAAGGATGATCCCCCTGCCAAAGAGATGCACCCTTATATAACCTCCTACTAATTTAGGTGTTGTGTAGTTGTCCGTTTCCTAGCAGGCCATGTGAAGCCTAACTCAAGGCTCAACTCTAATATGCTAGAAACCACAGGCTAAATAGATCACCAAATAAATCACTTTCAACTGTCTTGGGACCAGTATGGTCACTCTTCAGCAGGCTAGGTTTTTTCTTCATTGTTCTGTCCCTGTGGAGTGTCTGCTAGCTGTTTATTTCTCCCTCATTGCTCACAATTGGGCAGAAACAGACACCTTTTAGATGTGGAAATGAAGCAGCTAAGGAACAGAATGTATTACTAAGCTGAGTGGGAGGAAAGGAAAATTAGGGAAATTGCCAACTCTCTTTCTCACATGGGCTAGCCCTACTCTGACATCTAAGGCCTTGTCTTCATTGGGGAAAAAAGGTATATTCTAAAGGTGAGTTAACTAACTCAGGGTAAAATCCTAGGGAAGACAAGAAAGTTTTCAGTTTTCACATGAGTTAGCAGGTCGACATGAAGAGATGCTATGAAGACTCACCTCTAGTTTCCTTTTAGAGCAAGCAGAACACTTTTTACTCTTGACCACTTGAAGGTCTAGGAGAGGTTCACTACTCATGATTAACTCAAAAGTGCACTTAAGGCCTAATCCAAAATCCACTGAAATTAGTGGAAAGACTTCCATTGACTTCGCTGGGCTTTGGATCAGGATTTTTAGTGGAAAAAATGAGTGATCATTAGGGATGACATTTGGTAAATAGCACTGTATATGATCTAGAAAATAAATCCACACATGGCAAATATAAAATCAGTTCAATGGAAGTTAATCAATTCTGGCTCCAACTGAAACTTTATTTTTATTTAGGGCTTTATCTATTGTACATACAAAATTGATTTGAATGACTAAACAAGTACATTTAACATTGAGAGAAGAGTTATTGCATTTGATTTTGACACCAGAACACTGTTCTGTTTCCACACTTTAAAAATCAGGTTTTGAAGAAGACAAAACATCTAAAGACTTCTGAGTTGCATTTGTTTTCATGCAAAATGACCACTGACTTTTTAAACTCAATGGACATATTTTAAATACTAAATAAAACACCTTGTTGTACTAAAAGATGCAGTATTTCTAATTTTGCTCGATAAGATTTTACTCTTGCCATTTTCATCAAGTGGATATTACATGAAAATTAAATTTCAAAGGATAACAGGATAAACATTTGTCTGCCCTTTTAGGGAATAAAAATTAATAGATACTAAAAATCAATGGCTGTGTAAAATAAAGGCAAAATGGATTGGTATTGGAGAAGTAATGTTGACATCACAGGACACTGGAAGCTGAGCAGGAAAAGGTTTTTAAGTCAAACTAATTAAAGCACTGGGGCAGGGTTGGGGAGCTGTTTGTTCTTTTTGCCTGCACCTATATAACAACATAATGGAAACACTCCAACAAAGGAACACCCCAAACTTCTAATGAAGAACTCACAGTACACGTCAGATATCCGCAAAAAGTTCTCCAGCAAAACCAGAACTGACATTTTATGACCTAAGGGTTTTTTTTTTTTTTTTTTTAAACCCAATAGATCCAAACTCTTTTCGGTAAAATTAACTCTTCTAAACTGTCTACACCTCAAAGAAGCAAAAAGGGATAAAAACCCAATTATTTCAAAATGCTTTGCAGGAACTGATCTGTAATATATTTAAACATTTTGAATGGTTAGGCAATTTGATTCTCTGTGCACAAAAGCATGATATAAATGATCTGCACATTTAAGTTTGATAGTAGAAACTGGAAAGAAACCGTAAATTGCTTTCTTTGTTTTAAATACATTACAAAGGAACAGCAAGGCCTTGATCTTCCTTCTTTCTCAACCCAAACTCATTCAGTCATGGGTACATAGGAATGCAAAACTGAGCCATAAGAAGACACTTTTGTGGTGGATAACATTTAAAAATTGATGTTAAAACCAAAGGTCTGGTTTTAGTAATCATTTTGGCAGACCAGGGGTAGGGGCAGTTGTTATTCCTACTTGTTTGGGTAAAATCTCCATAGAGCAATAGGATAATTGGATACTTACTATCTAATGTATTTTCTAACATTATATAGGTACCTGTCTTCCCTTGATTGGAAACAGACAAGTGACTGTAGTTAAGTTTCTTGCAATTTCTGCATAAAGAATATTGATCTTCACTGCTTAAATTCTAACCCTTCAAGTTTAAGTCAAAGACAAATAAATTACAAACTAGAAATTCACAGTAAGGAAAATCTTCTGCAACATAAATTACAACATTGCAGTGAAAGGCATTACCACAGGAATAATGGAAAAATATGAGCAAAAGAGCACTAGCCAACCAAATGCTGTTTCAAACATTCTTGCTAAATTTTAGTCTGCTCAGCATACTTATTTAGCACTCAGCACACAAATTTTTCTGGAACAAGGTGACTTTTGGTCCAAAATAGAGCATCCACAAGTGGAGCTAATCCAGAAAGTTTCCCTGTGTAGACAAGCCTTTAGCAAAGGGGGGAAACCAACTATAGCTGGAAGTGATCTACTTTATATGGGGAAATCAACACCACACACACAAAAACATTTTTTTAGCCTGTTTCTGCAGGTAGGAAAGGTACTGTTTATGTCCAGAGCACATCAGGTGAGACACAGCAATAATTATTCAAGAATTAATGATGATGCTTCTTAAAAGAAATCACAAGTTACAGTAACATATGCAATTATAAAGATCTTTTACTACCAAATGCGTAAATGTTTCAGCATATTTAAACACACTAGTCATCTTTCTGATGTTTATCAAATCGTTCCAATAGAGCTCTTAGTATATTTCCTGGTGTTTTTTGGTGCCTGTCTCTTAGAGATTGGATTGCAGTCTTTGTCTGTTAAGGGAAAGAAAGAAGAAGGAACAGAGAATTTTACTTCTTTATAAAAACACTGCAGCTCACAGAATCACTATCATGCTTGCTAAAGATACTTATTTTTAATAGGTTTCAGAGTAGCAGCCGTGTTAGTCTGTTATTAGTCTGTATTTTTAATAGTCTCTGGAAAATGCTGTAAGGGGGGAGGGGAGGAATCCCCCTCAAAATCCTTTAAAACCCATGATGAGAAAGTATTTAATATTTAGCTGTTAAAAGCCTCCAATGCTGATCCCAATCCTGCAATGGGGTGTGCCCTCACGGAGCTCACTGTGGGATTGTGCCCTATATCCTGTTCACGCCCAGTGTTAGCTATGCATGTGAACTCTTTGTCAGGCCATACTAGCAAATAACCTAGGAGAGAATGGAGAAAGAAATTAAGTAAAGGGAGGCTTGGAAAGTCTGGAGGGGAGCAGACCATGCCTGTACTGAATTTACTGACTATCTGAAGGGAAGATAGAATAATGTATATTCAGATTATTTGTTGTATGGAAGTAAAAATTGTTAGAGCCATCTGTAAATAGTAGTAGTAGTAAACATTTATACTATGTTAGTACCAAAGGCCCCAATCATTACTGAGACCTGTACAAACAGAAAAAGAGAGAACCTTTGCCCTGATTTATTATCTAAAGAGACAAACACATGAAAAGTAGGGGATGGGGATATGCACAAAGCCAAATGAATAACAGGAAGAATTGGTTCATCTTTGCTTACAGTTATGTGCATTTTTAAAATTGGTTTTATAGGAAGGGTGTAGGAAAAGGATAGGTGAAGAGTAATAATCATAGCTTGTCATCTAACTAGCTATGATTAGCATGCTGGCTTTTGTAAGCATTGTGGCAGTGGAGAGTTTTAAGGAGGAATTTGAAGAAGGATGAGGTTGTGGCTGATCAAATTTTGTCAGGGAGTTATTCCCCCATGCAGAAGAGGCAACCTGGGAGGAAAAACTGAAATATTTAAGGGAGCAACTGAGTGGCAGACAGTAACAGTTGGGAATGCTGGAATTCAGTAGGTCCATATATTAAGAACTGAAAAATGTTTATCGTTTTCAGAGGTGTGATAGTCTATTTTTGAAGGCAAAAAGAGACTATGGATTCTGGTCCTTTGCTACACATTTTGAAGGGCTCTGCTATGTATTCATGAGGTTTAGAGGTAGGATTTAAATAGTAGATGTGTCAGATAGGCCAGTGGTTCTCAAAGCCAGTCCACCGCTTGTGCAGGGAAAGCCCCTGGCAGGCCGGGCTGGTTTGTTTACCTGCTGCGTCCGCAGTTTCGGCCAATCGCGGCTCCCAGTAGCCGCGGTTCGCCGCTCCAGGCCAATGGGGGCTGCAAGAAGGGCAGCCAGCACATCCCTTGGCCCGCGCCGCTTCCCGCAGCCCCCATTGGCCTGAGCAGCGAACCGTGGCCACTGGGAGCCGCAATTGGCCGAATCTGCGGACGCGGCAAGTAAACAAACCGGTCTGGCCCGCCAGGGGCTTTCCCTGAACAAGCGGCGGACCGGCTTTGAGAACCACTGAGATAGGCTGAGTTGTTATGAAACCTTTGCCTATTTCTGCTCTGTGTAGTTCCAATCCCAGACTGATGCCTCTGTCCTTTTATAAGGCTCAGGTGCTTAATAGAGCATCAGCTGGCTTCCTTATCTCTACCCTTCAGTCTGGGAAGATGCTAATTCATTATTGCACAGGTGGGGCTGGCCTCATCTCCCTTTAAAGAGGCCAGTTGCCTGCAGACAGTATTCAAGTTGCCTGAAACTGACTGCCTTTGCATCATGTTTTCCACTCCACTGAATAGTATAAAATAGGTTTCCCAAACCCTTTCACTCTGAGTCATAATTATGTGAATCACCTGCCTTCTCTTTTGAAACCAGATAACATCCCTGTGACAAGCTAATAGCTTCCATGGAAAAGAAATTGGGAAAGCTTTTAATGAAATGTTTACTTCTTTCAACGTAATTTAGCAGCTGGTAACAAGTCCAACCAGCATTGGTGATAGCTCTACATAAATAACCAGCAAGTACTTTGTGTATCACTGTTTGGAAACCTCTGGTATAAATTATGAGGGAGAGTGGCAGGGAGGAGGGTTATGAGATTAAAACTAGAGCTGGTTGAAACTCAATTTCCATTCCACAGGAAATTATGACATTTCAAAATTGCCTTTTGTCCCAATTGGAATGAAGAAAATAGAAATTTCAAACTTTCCTGCCAAACAAAAATTTCCAGAAACCCTTTTTCAGAAATATCAGCACAACCATATGAAAATGTTTTATAGCTATAGCAAAATAATCAAGTCAAAATGAATTGCTTTGAAAATATTGTCAAAAAAAATGTATGAAATCGATACATTCCCACAAAATTTTTGATTTAGTTGAATCAGCATTTCCTATCACAAAACTGTTCCATCATAATTTTTTTTTACCTGCTCTAATTAAAACAATGTACAAATCTATGAAGAATTATGACAATTTAAGACAATGAGGTCAGGAGCCAATGGCAGCCACAGATTACCAATTACAAGTCACTGGAGTCTGTTAGTGGGCAACAGTTCACTATGTAACAGATGACATGACTATAAAAAAGATTTACTTTACAAAAAACTAACAGACATTTTATTTTTGCCTTTTACCCTTGAAAAGCAACAATTTACATACAGAATACTGGAGATTTGACTATTCAGAAAATCAAATTACTGTACCTTTTCAGCTAGTTCCGCAGCAGTTACATTTGGATCATATGGTATGGGATCTCCAATATATGTGCGAAATTTAACTGGGAACCCTCCGTATAGGGGAACTACTGGCAGTCGAGAATATTCATAAAGCCACCTAAATGACCCTGTGAGTTTAAAAACAAATTGTAAATGGTAAGCAATAGGTTAAAAGCTAGCTGAGTCCCTAAATCCAAATAATGCCTGGATTGCTTAGTTTGCAAGTGACAATTTTACCAAAGCCATGACAAAATAAGCAAGACAATTTGCAGAGCATAGAATCTTGGGTGGTGGTGCGGAAACAAACCCTCTACTTACCCTTGCTTTATCTCATGCATATTTGGTATGCACCCGTATTAATACAATAATAATACAAAAAAAAAAAGTTACCAGAGTTAAAACAGAACAGAAGTCTCCATAGTTTTACAAGTATATTTCTGACATATAGTAGATATTGCACATATTTAAAAAATTCTAAACTTTAAGGGATACATATGTATTATATCTTACATATTTTTCCAAGTGTCCTATATCCTTCCCGAAGATTCTGTGTGAACATAGGGATGATGGGCTAATAAACGAGAAAAAAGTGGTGAGGATTTGGACAACATTTCACTCTAATTTTTTTAAAAATTAGTTCATTTTTTTTTAATTTTTAAAAATGTAGTTCATTTCTGAACTAGAGAGGCATTCCATCTATATCACATGGTCATAGCAAATGTTATCATCTCACTAAATTGAAATGAAACTGGTAAATTTGTATTAGTAAATGAAAGTAGTATTGTGTTTGCTTAGAAAAACTACAGCTAGTTATGTACCATGGGCCTGATCTAACTTAAATGGGGAAATTCTGAATAAGAATCTTTCCATTGATTTAAAGGGGTGTTGGATAGGGTCCCCAAGTACACAAACACTAAAACAACATTGGTTATCAGCATAACATTTAGAAGCAGAAAGAACAGATTCCATAAATAGCACAGAACCATTCCAAAGAGACTGCTTCAGAGACATAATCCTGGTGGATTTTTTTTTTTTTTGGTGGTGGTTTTGCCTAAAATGTCAAGACTATATAACAAATGAGACTATTGCTTGACAGGTAAGTAATATATTACTTGATTGGAGATGATTAATTGAAACACTGAAATGTTCTATTCAGATTGCTCTTGTGTACACAAGAGCAGTCTCAGAGTTTGACAAGCCTGCTGTTGTGCTTGCCACAGAGTTGTGGTTGTGTATTTATCAAGCTATGTTGCTATCTCTGTTCAGGTTTGATATGAAAATAAAAATGTTAACTGAGTTTGAATTTCATTTATGTCACTGACATTACCCAGGGTATAATCTGGACCATGAACAGCTGTGTCCCCTCAGTTCTCCACCCTGGGGTGCCTTTTACACTACTTTGCTCTGCCAGTTACCACTTCTGGTCGCTCACACACAGCCTACAGCATGTAAGTTACTCCCAGTTATAGTGTATGAGTACTATAGCCAGCCACTCACGAATTACACTGCAGAGAAACACCAGTAAGTTCCCAGTCCTAGACTTTCCCAGAAATTACGTCTTGAACTGCCCACCTCGCTCTTTAACAATACATGCTCATATAAAGTATGTCATTTTATTAAATAGAAAATGATATGCACAAATCCCATTATCCCAAATGGAGTTTCCCAAACATTTCAGTCCAAACACACTGGTTTAGATCAGGGGTTCTCAAACTGGGGGTCAGAACCCCTCAGGGGGTTGTGAGGTTATTACATGGGCAGTTGCAAGCTGTCAGCCTCCACCCCAAACCCCACTTTGCCTCCAGCATTTATAATGGTGCTAAATATATAAAAAAGTGGTTTTGATTCATAAGGGGAGGTCGCACTCAGAGGCTTGCTGTGTGAAAGGAGTCACTAGTACAAAGTTTGAGAACCACTGGTTTAGATAAAATAATAAAACAAATTTATTAACTACAAAAAGATAGATTTTAAGTAATTACAAGTAACGAGGCATAAAAGTCAGAACTGGTTACAAAAAAAATAAAAGTAAAAGGTGACTAATGCCTAACTTAACAAGCTAAGTGAATTCAAAGCCCAGGTCTCTCTCACCACATATTTCAGCAGTTTTACCAGCTGAATTTCTTTCAATCAGGATCCTTCTCCCAGTCCAAAGCTATTTCTTTTTTTCTTCAGGTGTTGTGGATGGTTAGAGAGAAAGGGAGAGATAATTTTGGGCAGCTGCTCTCCCTTCTTATAATTTTTCCCCCTCTTTGAGGATCATCTCCAGCTGAGGTTCAGGATAGGAACCCCCAGTTGTTTCTTTGTGAAGATATAAATTTTTTCACACATCCTCTTTCCTGCCAAAGTATGACCACTTAACCAGCTGATGGTCCATTTGATTTTGTTGACACCCAGCTGAGGAATCGGCTAGCCTTTTGTCTCTGAGGAACTGGTTTGTGGCTGCTCCCCAGACGTGGAACATGTCAGTGATACCATAGAGAGGAATCTTATAACTTGACATGCAATGTTGCCACACATATTTTACCAGGACAATAATGATCAGCAAATTGTGAGTTTTCAAATGATGCCTCACAGAGCATACTTTTTACAAAATTTATCATATTTTTGTAAAAGGGGTGAACATGAAGGTATAGACTGTGTGCTGGCTGTAGTCCCCTGTTCACTGAAGGTGCTGCAGCACAGAGGAGGCTGCAGGTTTGACTGGAGTCAATCAGTATGTTCCTAGTGGGGATTACTGACCTTTGGTGGTAACTACTGGGCTAATGAGATAATTGACTCAGTAACTGGGTGGATATATATTTGGGAGGAACAGGCAGTCATGAAAAGCTCAGAAGGTGAAAAAAGCTTTGTGACAGGCTCCTCTTGCTCAATACCTGTGCTATGTCCAATACTGTTTAGAAAGCAAGGATTAAAGGTTCATGTGGTGGAAAAGAAACAGACTGTCTGTGTGTTTTTGAGTGAGAGGCCATGAAAACAGGCTAGTCAGCGCTGCTCATGGGGTCGCCGAAGAAACGCCCTCTGACACTGTGGGCAAGAGAAATCCATTATTTTATAATACATACTTAAAAACAACTATTTTGTTAGTCTGTGGATCCCATGTTCAAGAAGAAAATATGTCTGTATGTACATGCAGGAGGTGGTACTTACCACTTTTGCATCTATAGCCACCTGAGCAAAGCCTTTGCGATTACCCCACAAGAGGTTGTAGTTTTCATCACTAAAGAATGCTTCTCGAACTCCACCTGGCGACACACCCAATAAGTGGCCATTCTTCAGAATTTGAACACATTCTTCTCTTCCACCATGCATCACACCAAAAATATCTAAAAGCAGTTTAATACCTGTAAGAAATGTGTCCAGCTTACATTATAAAGGAACTCTAGACCACCTTACATTAAGAACTGCTTACCTTACCAAAAAAAAAGTGGCTAAACATCATGTGAAGCAGATAAGCCTGCATGTGAAAACTGAACCCCATGATTTGTAAGAGTAACAGACCTTTTTTTCTGATAGCATTAGTCTAACCTTTCCCCCAGATTTATGTCTTAGGGAATTTTGTTAAAGTTGAATTGCTGATAGTCAATGAGAACCAAAATATAAAGAGAGAAGTTAAATACCTGTCTGTGGAAAAGAACAGTTGCTTAGTCATAACAAGGGATTTTCCTTTGTGTGCATGACTGACTGACAAAGTAAGTGAGGATGCCACGTGTTAACTAGACTGCACATGCGCTATCCCCTCAGAGCTATTTAGTATTCTCCATCCTGGAGCTGAGCAGAACTCTTCCTGGAGCTGCTCACCCCAGCTACTGGCAATTGTTGTGTTGCTAGGGATTGAAATTGAAGGCAAGGATATCATCTTGCCTGTACTCTCAGTCTCCCCACTGCTGGTGCTCAAGCAGCATGGAAGATAAGGAAGTTGCTGGACTAGACGCAGAGGAGTGAGGAGTTTGGGTGGGAGACAGACAGAAGCTGGGATGGAAAGGTAGCTGAACGGGAGGACTGAAACAGGCTGGAAGGTGGAGAAGGCTGGGGAAAGGCTCGGCTGGAGGGGACAGAAATAGGAGGTTTCAGGCTAGATGTAGAAGGATCTGTTACCACTATAACACACTCCTCACCAAAGCCTGGACTGAAATGTAAAATTCCTGAGTCTCAGTATGTCTCTGCTGTCAGCAAACATCTCTAAAACCACCTGGCAAAATGTATGTCTCATTTCCCTCTAGTGGCTTGTCCACTTAAAGGATGACAACCTACTACTGCTATCAGTTACTCTATTAGCTCAAGTGGCAGAAGTCTATACTGTAGATCTGAAGGAGCCAACCATGCTGATGACTTATGTGCAGAATTTGATGACTCATTATGAAATTTCTATTTATTTTGAATTGTGCATTTGTAAAACCTCAGGGAGTTACATACAAAAAATGCTAAGTTTGCAAAGTCAAGCACTAATAAAGAAATGCCACACTTAAGGATGCCTCTGAAACCTTAATTTGCCCTCCACCATAAGTATACTTATGATACAGTCTCTAATTATGTGACCACAAAATATTTTTTTCCCAAAGGACTCCTGCCTCAGCATGTACAGCATAGACTCATTGGATAGGTAATTATTCAGTATTTTGTTTTAGCTGTGTCATCATTCAGTTAATGGCCACATGACGTACTCATCATGCATTCTTCAGACCCTGCTCTGAATACTACATTATAAAAAAAGCCCTGGGAAAATTCATGACATTGCTATTGGGGTTGGTCTCCCATAGTGCCCCCTTAGGGTGTGACAGTGTGTTGAATACACCCAGCCTTTGGTCAGCAATGCCTGGCTGGTCAACAGCATGGATCTGGGTGTGGGAGACTCAGCCCTCTGACTGAGTCCTGTGGAAGTCTGCTCTTTCCTGGGCTATCAAAGATCTAAGGGAAAACAACCAAACACACAAGATTCTTTTCCTTCAGGAAGCCTCTGGCAGGTCATAGGCCTGCACAGCCCCCACAGGTGAGTCATTGGTAATAGTGCCAAAGTAATCATTCTGCATCAGGCCCACCTTCCCCTCAGAGGGCTCCAGCAGGAAGTAATTGTTTGAGCAATCCCTGCTCTTAATTAAACTTTTCTCTGGTAGATGGTCTTCTCCCAGATATGCCACTACTTTAGCTATGGTTCTCCCCTTTAGGCCATCCCACTCATTGAAGATTGAGGTGGGGCTGAACAGTCTGGCCCAGAGCTGTTCCTTAACCCTCACTTGGCCAGTGCCAGGTTTGTATACCCATCACAGGCATTCATCACTTCAGTATCTGAGTGCTGCACAGAATTTGAAGAATATATCTTCATAATAATCCTGTGAGATGAGGCACTATTATTATCCTCATTTTACAGATGAGGAACAGAGGTACAGAGAAATTAAGCTCTGAAGTGTCCACTAATTTGAAGTGCCCAATTTGGAAAAGATATGGCCCGATTTTTCAGAGTATTTAGCATTCTATATCACTTTATATGTTCAGAGCACAGTTCCCAATGACTTCAGATGAGCTGTGAATGCTCAGCACTTTTGCAAATCAGTCCTAGGATCTCAAACTGGGTGCCCTGAAAATGCAAAACACAATTAGTGACCCCCTGTGAAAAGTTTGGTTTAAATGACTTGCCCAGAATCACATAGGACGTCTGTGGCAGAGGCAGGGATAGAATCTAATTCTCCAGAGTGGTATTCAGCTGCCTTAACTAGGAGACCTCCCCTTCTCTTTCTGCAGCCCCCTGCCTCCTTCACAACACACTTTCCAACATCTGCAACAAATAGGGACAGGGTCTTACAACCAACAGCCTACACAACTCTAATGCATTTTCAGAGCATAATCTATTTTGTGCACTGAATAAGGCAGAGGTCTTGTGGGAAAATAGTATATGATCATGTAATTAGAGACTGTATCATAATGTGTACGCACAAGGAGGACAAAGTAACGTTGCACGAGCAACCTTAATTCTGACATTTCCTGACTTTTGACTGCTTGATTTTTCAACCTTAATGTTCTTTTAACATAGCTTTTTTACTGTAATATCAACAGGTCTTGAGATTGATAGTACCCTGTTATTTTAAGGCTGATAGCTAAAAAAGGTATGCCACCTTCCCAAATTATTAGATAAAGCAGATATGGAATGATTGTATTTGGCAGTAATTAACCTAATAATTAGATTGGTAAATTAATACTACCTTGATTAATCTTAATTTGATTTGTTTATATTTTATGTTATTGTTTGATTTTTGTTAATATACAATTGGAAAGTTGTGTGAACTGGATGTTTCTTATCCAGACATCAGTGCCTGGGATGACCAGACAACCAGGGTAGTAATGAAGACAAATCTAATAAGCCACCTATTGGTAGTCCACACAATCTGCCCCTTTAGTCCTCACAGTCAACCAATTTTGTATAGTTGGCTACACTTTAAATATCGATCAAACAAGACATTTTGTTATAGTCAGTAGCAACAAGTCTAGCATAACAAAATCCTCCCATATAATTGACACTGACACTCTGACATGTTCAGCCACCATTGTATGGAAAGGCATTTGCACGTCAAACTATAGCAAAGTTCTGGCTACAACCTGGGCATGAAGCCATCAGTCCTTAGGGAAATTCAACTAGTATGGAATGCTCCAGCACATCTCCTCAGCAACATGGGCTACAGTGATCACGTCAAACCTATCCTTCACTCTACACTGGCTTTCCGTAGAATATCAAGTCACATTCAAGGACTCAGTTCTTATCTTCAAGGTGCTCAGTGGCACAGCTGAAGACTGTGGTCAGCAATGTCACTTCTCAGCACAATGAAACATTCCACCTTAAAGGTAAAACTCATCTGTGCAAACCAGGCTTTCTTGAGGGCTGGTCTGAGACTGTAGAATGAACTCTCATAGGAACTAAGGACTATCACAGACCTCCCCATCTTCAGCACCAAGTGTAAGGTGCATTTCTTCCACCTTGCTTTCTCTAATATAAACAACATAGCACTGTGTAGATTTAAAAAAAAAAAAAGAGAAACAACAAAAACCCCTACTGCAACAGAACACTACACTGTACACAAAATTGTTCCCCTGAGAAGAGTGTGAGAGAATAAACATGTGACAAACTGCAAGCGATGTTAGTCACACCACTTAATGCACTACTGGAAGGCGCTTAGACACTATGGTGGTGAGGTCACTATAAGAACCTATATTGCATAGAACAGCAGAGATGGCCAATGCCTGCTGATGGCGGCGGGGGCCACAACCATGGAACAGCTGGAATCACGCCCCTTGAGGCTGCATCCCCACCCGGAAAGCAGTGCCCCCCCTCCCGGAAAGCAGCAGCCCCTCCTGCAGCTCCCAGGCTATTCTTTCACCTCTGCTTCTCCCTGCCTGGTGCAGCTCGCAGCTCACTGGCTCAGCTGCCCTGCAGGGAGGGGGCCTGGCTGCACCATGTGACCGAGTAATCGGGGGGGGGCATGCGACCCCCACGTCTCCTCCTCACATGTTGTTTCTGTTGTACAGTATACTATAGTATGATGGCCAAGGTTACTGTCAAGAGAGGCCTTTGTCCTACAATGAATAAAACAGCTAAGATGGCTAGAATACTACCAGAGGAATTTGGTAATGAGCAGCCCTGATCAGTGCAAGCTGATGTCTTTTAGAACGTCAGCTGAAAGATACAATTCAAGAAAACTTGAAATATACCTATTCCAGAAAAAGTGCTGACATACATAAAAAATTGCCAGGTAAATTCATCCCCACTCTATTACTGGTGGTTTCCAAAGACTTAGATGAGCGGTGAATCAAATGCACAACTACAAAATAGGGAATAACTGGCTAGGTGGTAGTCCTGCTGAAAAGGATCTGGGGTTTATAGTGCATCACAAATTGAATATGAGCGAACAATGTGATGCAGTTGTGAAAAAGGTTAACATCATTCTGGGGTGTATTAACAGCAGTTTCTTATGTAAGACATGGGAGGTAACTGGCCCGCACTACTTGGCACTGGTGAGGCCTCAGCTGGATAACTGTCCAATTCTGGATGCCACACTTTAGGAAAGATATGGATAAATTAGAATAAGTCCAGAGGAGAGCAACAAAAATGATAAAAGGCTCAGCAAACCTGACCTACGAGGAAGGCTAAAAAGACTGGGCATGTTTAGTCTTGAGAAAAGAAGACTGAGGAGGAGACCTGGTAATAGTCGTCAAATATGTTAAGGACTGTTGCAAATAGGACAGTGATCAACTGCTCTCCATGTCCACTCAAGGTAAGACAAGATGTAACGAATTATCTGCAGCAAAGGAGATTTAAGTTAGATATTAGGAAAAACTTCCTAATGATAGGGGTCATTAAGTTTTGGAATAGGCTTCCAAGGGAGGTTGTGGAATCCCCATTACTGGGAGGTTATTAAGAACAGGTTGGGCAAACACCTGTCAGGGATGGTCTAGGCTAACTTGGTCCTGCCTTAGCACAGGGTGCTGGAATTGATGATCTCTCAAGGTCCCTTCCAGCCCTACAGTTCTATGATTCTATGAAGACCTGGCCTCAGTTATTCATGCCTTTATCACCTCCTGGCTAGCTAACAGAAATGCAATATACCTGGGCATGAAAACGTCAGCATTTAGGAAACTCCAGCTAGTACAGAATGCCACAGTGCATCTCTTCAGCAACACAGGCTACCGGGAAGATATCAAATCTGTCCTCCACTCTCTAGACTGACTTCCAATAGCATATTGAATAGAATATTGAATCAAGTTCAAGGTCTCAGTCCTGATCTTCAAAGTACTCCATGACCTGGGCCCAGGATATGTGAAAAACCATCTAAAGTTCTCGAAGGAAGACCATGGCTGATGACTGCACTCCTCTGGCACAATGGAATTCTCAACAATAGGAGTAAAACTTGTCTGTGCAGGAGACAAAACTTTCTCTGGGGGGAATCTGAGACTTTGGAATGAACTCCCCCAGGAACTAAGGACTATCATAAACATCATCAATTCAGGTGCAAGGTGCATTTCTTTGACTTTGCCTTCTCTAATATAAATACATAGTAACACGTATATGTGTGTGTGTGTGTGTATATATGTATATGTGTATATGTATGTATGTATGTATACACACATATATAAAAAGTCACACCCTACCAAAATAAGACACTCCGCTGCACGCATTTCTCCCTCTGGGGAGATGATGAGAGAACAAACAACATGTGACAGATATGTAGTGACGTGGCTTAATGCACTGCTGGAAGGCACTCAGATACTAGTGATGAGTGCAGTATAAAAACATCTATTGAATAGAATAGAAAGTGAAAGTTAATATGAACACTTGGAGGACAAGGGGGGACAATGTCTGAAGGGGAAGAATGTTGATACATAACACACATTCCTACATAAGTAAAATATAACATATACAATTTTATCATGCTGATACAGAAAGTTTATTTATTAGAATAGTTTCTATATAGGGCCCTACCAAATTCACGGTCCACTTTGGTCAATTTCATGGCCATAAGATTTAAAAAATCGTAAATTTAATGATTTCTGATATTTAAATTTGAAATTTAAAAGGAGGTTGTCGGGGGGGGTCACAAGGTTAATATGAAATAAGGTATGGTATTGCCACCCGTACTGCTGCTGGCAAGGCACTGCCTTTGGCGCTGGTCGCCCAGCCAGAAGCTGCCACTCTCTGGCTCTGAAGGCAGCGCAGAAGTAAGAGTGGCAATATCATATCCTGCCACCCTTATTTCTGCGCTGCTGCCTGCAGAGCTGGGCGGCCCCCCTACATTAACCCTATGACCCTCCCCAAGACCCGCTTTTGGGTTGGGACCCCCAGTTTGAGAAACGCTGTCTCCTCTGTAAAATCTATATAGTATAGAGTAAAAGTACACAAAAGACCAGATTTCACAAGAGATACCAGATTTCATGGGCCATGAATTGGTAGGGCCCTATTTATATATAGTTTACAACTTTGAAAGTCAATAATAAAACTAGCTTAATAATGTATTCTTTTCACTTACAACAGCCTTAATTTTACCAAAAATATTAAGTGGGATACTTAAGAGAAGAAAGGACACTGCCTCTTCTTTATGTTAATGCCACATGCAAAGTTTTTGGAAATCTGTGAACCAATAGCTATTACGAACTTCAGGAGACCTCAGACTTCCTCAAACATTTGTAATTACACTATTTTTTGTAGTACACACTGGAAAGCAACCTGAATGCCTATACTGATGTATGTATCTCTAGTATTAATGTATGAATTTCTCCAAGTATCTTTGAATTTAAAATATTTTTAACTCTCCTCCCTTCCCTTCACCTGCCCAGTACAATGAAAGTGCTTTACCTGGTATTTTAAAGGTGAAATGATCAGCTACTGAATGGCAGAGTCTGCCCTTCTGGTTACATAATCTAGCCATAAAGTACAAATAGTCTATAGGAGTGGCACCATGGTAATAAATAATCAGCCCTGGTCCTTCTGGGATTTTTTCCACACCATGAAGCTCATAACCTGTCAAGTACACAAAGTGCAATTAGTGTTCTACCTGTCATGCTGTGATTTAACATAAGTTCCTTACTAGATACCAGCAGGAAGTTTTAGAGGAAACTGTGCCAAAGATTAACGTCTCATTTGCTATGTCACTGATATCAAAGTAATGTTGATTATAAGGTGATGTTGTTACTGAAGGAACTGTGTAAGAGGGAAATAAACCTGCACAGCAAACTGTCTTGGCTTCACAATAGCTATTGTGAAGCCATCTCATCTGCTCAGTGCGCTCCAGCCTTTATGATTCAGTGAAGTGGGGAAGGATAGGAAACATGAATATGACCCTGAGATCATTGGGATAGAAGAGATCCTGCCTGAGAGACCTGGGGTTCTGGGAATCATGAACAAGATCGGGGGTGGGGGTGAAAGGTTAGCCATTCCTTGCGAGAGGCAAAGAGATCTAGGTGGATATTGCCTTGCTTTTTACAGAAACTGGGGGTTGGTGTGGTGAACCAGGTCCAAGAGCACCTTTCTTTGGGGCCCAAAGTGTTTGTACCACCCACTACATACCTCCCCACTTGGATGGCTGGTGTTCTACTCCCCATAAGCAATCTCACCAAGATGTCCATACCTGCACCTGGAAGGCATACAGCTGCAAAGCTAGATACCACTGGATAACCCAAGAATCGGTGTCCTTTAAAATATTAAGCTAATGCAATGGGGCACGATCTGTAAAAGTTGTCATTAAAAGACAGTACTGGAGGGATACCATATTAGCCCTAGGACTGTTAAATGCTCTTTCTCAAGTCTGTAAAATTTAGTTTCTCAGGGAAAGTGATTTCAATTCAAATATAGCAGTGAGTGTTCACGATACTGAAAGGCTTAAGCATCAGTTTGGAACACAGATGTCTGAGTGAATGACGGGGCACTGACACAGGATTTTTTTTTATCATAAAAAAGACCTTGTCACACTGAACCAGACAGTGAATAGTTAAAGGAGCAGCCAGCATGGCAAAGTTGGGTAGGAAGTAGCCAGCTAGTATTTGTTTGGAGAACCAGGGTTTTCTTTAGTGCCTTCACTTTATCTAAGAGGGTTTGGATTTATGTTTAAAGAAAACATCTTGCTTACCATGCCATAACTTTCCATACAAGTCCCAGAGGCATACCACCATTTGCCTCCCATTGTCCCATAACTTACTGGAATAATCCCCCTTTAGGTCATTCTTTCTCTTGTAAACATGAAGAAGAAGACTGGAAAGGTAGAGAACACCAAACAGAACGATATGAAATGCAAGCAGCATTATAAATGGAATTAACTGCGACAAGAAGTAGAACACCTAATCCAGATAGTCTTAAGGTACTCCAGACCAGTCAATTCTTCCAATGTGTAAGTCAGATAGGTCATATAGTTTACAAGTTTCTGCTCTGAAATACTGGATTTACTTCTGCTTAGCATCTCCTGGTAAAAAGAGAATGAAACAAACTAAGTCCAAAACTCTTCATAATCATAGCAGCTTTCTTAGCTTTTCCACTAGAAAAAGATGACATTATCCTTTATTCTTACTACTAGCAAAGAAGTTCCAAACATTTTTATTTCATTTAAATGGTGTTCTTAACATTAACTGACTGTCCTATATAAACTAGGACTTTGAGATATGGCTAATACTATGGTTAATAAATACATGTTATTTTTTATTTATATTAGATAGCGTCCCATTGTACTGGGCACTGTAATTAAGCACATATTAAGACACTGTCTCTGTCCCAAGCAACTTCCAGTCCAAAGCTCTGATCCCACAAAAATGTATGCTTGACTTCAATAGGAATACTCAGATGCTTAAAGTTAAGCATGTTCGTAAGCATTCTCAGGATCAGAGTCTAAGACTACAAGTGATATACAAAATATGTTCCATGTTTATATATATTCTATACATAGGTGTTTGTTATTTAAAAATAATAGATAAATACATATTAACTGTATCTCTAATGTCCCAACCTATCCTTAAGTCTTTGGTAATTTCTTGTAGCTTTCACAGAAGAAGTGGGTGTTAGAGAGGGTTTTGAAAGAGAAGGTAATGAATAGTCGTAAGGTGCAGTTTGGGGATGGAGTCACACATGGGAAGTGTGGGAGATAGTTGTAAGAAAAGCAAACAAAAGAATGGACAATGCTAGGATCAGTGGAACTGTGAAGGGGCAGTTGGTTGGCATGTGAGAATGCCTGGCAGTGGGCTGGGTCAGAGGGTCTTGAGGCAGATTGGTGGGAGGATGTTAGTGGGCTGGGTGGGAAAGTGCCTGGGGCAGTTGTGGGGGAGGGATGTTGTGGGAGTGGGACAGTTGGATGTGGTGGGGCAATTGGGTGGGGCTTGTGTAGTTTTGGGCTATATGGCAGAAGACTGGGGCAGATGGGTGGGGTGGGGGTATTGGGACAGGCTGAGTTAATGGTGTCTGGGGTAGTAGGGTCTTGGGGTAGTTAGGCAGTTGGGTGCGGGGTGCTGGCAGAGGCTGCTTTAGTTGAAAGCAAACTAGGCAGCTGCCTAGGACAGCAGATTTCTGGGCACTCAAATTTGGCCTGGCCACCCCTCTATCATAGTGGAAGTACGGCCAGGCCAAATCTGCTGCCCAAAGCCTATGAAGGAGGTGAGGGAGGGGGGTGTCGGTGCAGATAGGCAGTTGGGTGGGGGTGGTTGGGGCAGGTGTGTTGGCTGTGTTTGGGCAGTTGGATGGGGCTGTGTGTGGTGGTGGGTTCTGGGACAGCTTGCTGGGGGTGTCTGGTTGTGGGTGAGATAGGTGGGGGTGTCAGGGTATTTGGGTGGTGGTGGTGGGTGGAGAATGTCTGTTGGTGTGTGAGGATGTTGGGGCAGTTTTGTGGGGGTGTTGGTGATGTGTGGGAATGTCGAGGCAGATGGATTAGGGGTGTCTGATGGTGGGTGGGTGGATGGGATGGATGGGGTTGTCTGTTGGAGCAGTTGGGTGAGGGTATCTGGTGGGACACTTGAGTGACGGATGAGGGTGTCAAGTCGTGGGCGGGTGCATTGGGGCAATTAGGTAGGGGAGGAGTAGTTAGGTAGGGGTGCCAGGACATTGGGCGGTACTGTCGGGTAGCTGGGTTGGGGAGCAGTTGTGTGGGGTTTTGGGGCATTTGGGTGGGGGATGCCAGGGCAGATGGATTTCGGGACAGGTGGGTGGGGGTGTTGGGGCAGTGGGGTGAGGATGTCAGGGCAATTGGGTAGGAGTATTGGGGTTGTTGGGTGGAGGTGTTGGGGAAGTTGGAGGGTGTTGGGTGGGGGAGTGATGGGGTGTGCTAGGGCAGTTGTGGGGTCCCGGGGCAGTTGCGGAGTGCTGGGGCAGTTGGGTGGAGGAGCCGGGGCAGTTGGATGTCAGGACAATTGGGTAGGGGTGTCAGTGGCACTTGGGTGGGTGGTGTTGGGGTAGTTGGGAGTCAGGAGTCAGGACAGTTGGGTGGGAGTGTCGGGGGCAGTTGGGAGTCAGTACAGGTGGGTGGGAGGTGTCGGGGGCAGTTGGGTGGGGGTGTCAGGGCAGTTGGGTGGGGGCGTCGGGGGCAGTTGGGTGGGGGAGTCGGGGGCAGTTGGGTGGGAGGTGTCAGGGCAGTTGGGTAGGGGCGTCGGGGGCAGTTGGGTGGGAGGTGTCAGGGCAGTTGGGTAGGGCGTCGGGGGCAGTTGGGTGGGAGGTGTCAGGGCAGTTGGGTGGGGGCGTCGGGGGCAGTTGGGTGGGAGGTGTCGGGGGCAGTTGGGTGGGGGGCGTCGGGGGCAGTTGGGTGGGAGGTGTCAGGGCAGTTGGGTGGGGGCGGCGGGGGCAGTTGGGTGGGAGGTGTCGGGGGCAGTTGGGTGGGAGGTGTCGGGGGCAGTTGGGTGGGGGTGTGGGGCAGTTGGGTGGGGGCGTCGGGGGCAGTTGGGTGGGAGGTGTCGGGGGCAGTTGGGTGGGGGTGTCGGGGGCAGTTGGGTGGGGGCGTCGGGGGCAGTTGGGTGGGGGGTGTCGGGGGCAGTTGGGTGGGGGGTGTCGGGGGCAGTTGGGTGGGAGGTGTCGGGGGCAGTTGGGTGGGGGCGTCGGGGGCAGTTGGGTGGGGGGGGGAGTTGGGTGGGAGGGGGGCAGTTGGGTGGGGGCGTCGGGGGCAGTTGGGTGGGAGGGTCAGGGGGCAGTTGGGTGGGGGTGTCGGGGGGCAGTTGGGTGGGGGCGTCGGGGGCAGTTGGGTGGGGGTGTCGGGGGCAGTTGGGTGGGGGGGGGGGCAGTTGGGTGGGAGGTGTCGGGGGCAGTTGGGTGGGGGGGGAGGGGTCGGGGGCAGTTGGGTGGGGGCGTCGGGGGCAGTTGGGTGGGAGGTGTCAGGGCAGTTGGGTGGGGGCGTCGGGGGCAGTTGGGTGGGGGGTGGGGCAGTTGGGTGGGAGGTGTCGGGGGCAGTTGGGGTGGGGGCGTCGGGGGCAGTTGGGTGGGAGGTGTCGGGGGCAGTTGGGTGGGGGGGCGTCGGGGGCAGTTGGGTGGGAGGTGTCAGGGGGCAGTTGGGTGGGGGGCGTCGGGGGCAGTTGGGTGGGAGGTGTGGGGCAGGGGTGGGGGCAGTTGGGTGGGAGGTGTCGGGGGCAGTTGGGTGGGGGGTGTCGGGGGCAGTTGGGTGGGAGGTGTCGGGGGCAGTTGGGTAGGGGCGTCGGGGGCAGTTGGGTGGGAGGTGTCAGGGCAGTTGGGTGGGGGCGTCGGGGGCAGTTGGGTGGGAGGTGTCGGGGGCAGTTGGGTGGGAGGTGTCGGGGGCAGTTGGGTGGGAGGTGTCGGGGGCAGTTGGGTGGGAGGTGTGGGGGCAGTTGGGTGGGGGCGTCGGGGGCAGTTGGGTGGGAGGTGTCGGGGGCAGTTGGGTGGGGGCGTCGGGGGCAGGGGGGTGGGGTGGGGGCGTCGGGGGCAGTTGGGTGGGAGGTGTCAGGGCAGTTGGGTGGGGCGTCGGGGGCAGTTGGGTGGGTGGTGTCGGGGGCAGTTGGGTGGGAGGTGTCGGGGGCAGTTGGGTGGGAGGTGTCGGGGGCAGTTGGGTGGGAGGTGTCAGGGCAGTTGGGTGGGGGGTCGGGGGCAGTTGGGTGGGAGGTGTCGGGGGCAGTTGGGTGCGGGGGCAGTTGGGTGGGAGGGTCGGGGGCAGTTGGGTGGGAGGGGGGCGTCGGGGGCAGTTGGGTGGGAGGGGTGGGGGGCAGGCGGGTGGGGGTCGGGGGCAGTTGGGTGGGGAGGTGTGGGGGCAGTTGGGTGGGGGGGTGGGGGCAGTTGGGTGGGAGGTGTGGGGGGTCAGGGCAGTTGGGTGGGGGGAGGGTGGGGCAGTTGGGTGGGGGGGGTCGGGGGCAGTTGGGTGGGAGGTGTCGGGGGCAGTTGGGTGGGAGGTGTCGGGGGCAGTTGGGTGGGGGCGTCGGGGGCAGTTGGGTGGGAGGTGTCGGGGGCAGTTGGGTGGGAGGTGTCGGGGCAGTTGGGTGGGGGCGTCGGGGGCAGTTGGGTGGGAGGTGTCAGGGCAGTTGGGTGGGGGCGTCGGGGGCAGTTGGGTGGGAGGTGTCAGGGCAGTTGGGTGGGAGGTGTCGGGGGCAGTTGGGTGGGGGCGTCGGGGGCAGTTGGGTGGGAGGTGTCGGGGGCAGTTGGGTGGGGGGTCGGGGGAGTTGGGGAGTTGGGGAGTGGGGGCGTCGGGGGCAGTTGGGTGGGAGGTGTCGGGGGCAGTTGGGTGGGGGGGGGCGTGGTGGGGGGGCAGTTGGGTGGGAGGTGTCGGGGGCAGTTGGGTGGGGGCGTCGGGGGCAGTTGGGTGGGAGGTGTCAGGGCAGTTGGGGTGGGGGCGTCGGGGGCAGTTGGGTGGGAGGTGTCAGGGCAGTTGGGTGGGGGCGTCGGGGGCAGTTGGGTGGGAGGTGTCGGGGGCAGTTGGGTGGGGGCGTCGGGGGCAGTTGGGTGGGGGCGTCGGGGGCAGTTGGGTGGGAGGCGTCGGGGGCAGTTGGGTGGGGGAGGGGTCGGGGGCAGTTGGGTGGGGGCGTCGGGGGCAGTTGGGTGGGAGGTGTCGGGGGCAGTTGGGTGGGGGCGTCGGGGGCAGTTGGGTGGGAGGTGTCGGGGGCAGTTGGGTGGGGGTCGGGGGCAGTTGGGTGGGAGGTGTCGGGGGCAGTTGGGTGGGGGCGTCGGGGGCAGTTGGGTGGGAGGTGTCAGGGGTGGGGGCAGTTGGGTGGGGGGTCGGGGGCAGTTGGGGGGAGGCGTCGGGGGCAGTTGGGTGGGGGCGTCGGGGGCAGTTGGGTGGGAGGTGTCGGGGGCAGTTGGGTGGGGGCGTCGGGGGCAGTTGGGTGGGAGGTGTCGGGGGCAGTTGGGTGGGGGCGTCGGGGGCAGTTGGGTGGGAGGTGTCAGGGCAGTTGGGTGGGGGCGTCGGGGGCAGTTGGGTGGGAGGTGTCGGGGGCAGTTGGGTGGGAGGTGTCGGGGGCAGTTGGGTGGGGGGGGGCAGTTGGGTGGGAGGTG